CTGCGCACTCTGGTGGATCAAAGCAAGTTTGATAGAACGCGGTTTCACCTATTACGCGGTAAGATTTTTTTTTGGCTCCCGAGGACAGCGTTATATTGAGGTAGAGGTGTACTAAGTTTGCCCTTCTGTAGTCTTCAGAGACCTAATTAGTCCTCCAGATAATTGCTAATGGTTCTGAAACTGCTTCAGCTAGTTTCTTGGATACCCTAAAGGCAATTTAATCAAGCTCTGCTGACTTGAACACATTCAACTTATCTAAATATCCTTTAACCTGTTCTCCTATTTTGGCTTCTCTTCCTGCCCCTTCATTGTTAATATTAATTGTGTTAAGCTTAAGGTCACCATTTACCTTTTTTAGTAAAGATTGAAGCATTAAATACTTGAGCTTTCTTGGTGGGGGAGGGATAGCTCAGTGGTTTGAGCATTGGCCTGCTAAACCCAGGGTTGTGAGTTCAATCCTTGAGGGGGCCATTTAGGGAACTGGGGTAAAAATCTGTCTGGGGATTGGTCCTGCTTTGAGCATGGGGTTGGACCAGATGACCTTCTGAGGTCCCTTCCAACCCTGATATTCTATGTCATCAGTTACTAGTTTTTCTTCCCTACTAACTAGAGGAGTTACACCTTCCTTTGTCTTTCTCTAGCTCCTAATGTATTTATAGAACCGTTTCTTGTCTTTTCTATCCCTTGATAGGTGTAAAAGTGATTTGTGACTTAACCTTTTAGATTTTGTCCCTACATGCTTGTGCTCTCCTTCTATACTCCATTGCAATTTGTCCGCATTTCCACCTTTTGTAGGATTCCATTTTATTTTCAGGTCATTAAAGAGCTCCTGTGGTGCTATCTTGGCTTCTTACTATCCTTATTTTCTCTCCTTCATTCAGTTATGCCTTTAGTATTGTGTTCTTGACAAACTACCAGTTTTTCTGAGATATTTTTTCCCTTCAGACTGTACCTACTAGTTCTCTTAGGCCTTGTCTACACTAGAGGCTTTTTGACAAAAGTTGTTTCGACGATCAAAAAGCACTATAATTTTATCGCTATTGCATGTTGCACTACCCTCCCTTTGTCGGTAGAGCACGTCCACACTTGGGTCTCTAGCATCGAGAGTGAGAGCAGTGCACTGTGTGTACCTATCCCAGTGTGCAACTTGCCACTTTCAGCAGCTAGGACTTGTGGGAATGTGGAGTTGATCACAGCGCATCATAGGATGTATTATTTTCTGTCCCAGCATTCCACAATCTTCTGACTGCTTTTCACGGCATTTCTGTGTACTGTGCGCCTGCCATCTGTGTGTGAAAGGATAGATCCCGCACTGCTCTCTACTGTTGTGGTCACTGTTATGAACACATCGCGGATGGTCATGCAGTTAATCATAAGCTACCAATCTGAACAGGAATTAGAGTTGCCTGACCTGCTGTATGCCACAGAAAGAAGCAACACTAGATTACTTTTGGCATTCACAGAGCAGCTGCACATGGTAGACTATTGCTTTTGCGCACAGGAAACAGGCACAGAGTGGTGGGATTGCTAGTCATCGCAGACATGCTGAACAATGCAGAGTGGTTGCGGAACTTTTGGATGAGGAAAGCCACCGTCCTGGAACTGTGTGCAGAGCTCGCCCCAGCCCTGCGGTGCAAGGACACCGAATGAGGGCTGCACAGTCAGGGAGAAGTGTGTGGCGATTGCTGTGTGGAAGCTGGTGACCCTGGACTGCTGCCAGTCACAAATCAAGTTGTGTTGGGAAGTTGACCGTAGGAGCTGTTAACACAAGTGCGCAGGGCCATTAATCGCATTGTGCTACGAAGAACCGTGGCTCTTGGCAATGTGTGTGAAAGAGTGGATGTTTTTGTGGAAATGGGATTCCCTAACTGTGGAGGGGCAACAGATGGAACATGGATTCCAATTTTGGGTCCGGACCATCTTCCAGTGGAGTACATCAATAGAAAGAGGTACATGGTATTGCAGGCGCTTGTTGATCACCGTGGGTGTTTCACTGACATCAACGTGGGGTGGTCTGGGAAGGTGCTTGACGCATGCATATACTTAAAAAAAAAATTGGTGTTAGTTTTAGTAACTTTTTGTAGTTGCTCCTCAAATTATATTTTTGGCCTGCCTAATTATACTTTCAAACTTGACTTGCCAGAATTTATGCTCCTTTTATTTTTCTCAGTAGGGTTTGACTTCCAATGTTTAAAGGATGCCCTTTTTTTAACCTCTAATTACCTTATTTACTCTTTAGCCATGGTGGTATTTTCTTAGTCCACTTACTTTTGTTTTTGTCCCCATTTGGGGGTACACATTTATTTTGAGCCTCTATTATGGTATTTTAAAAATGTTTCCATGTAACTTTCTCACTTTTGTGTAGTTTCTCTTTCTGAAGTTAAATGCTACTGTGGTGGAGTTGTTGGTACTTTCCCCCCTCGCAATGATGTTAAATTTAATTACATTCTGGTCTCTGTTACCAAGTGGTTCACTTCTTGGACCAGATCCTGTCTGTCACTTAGGACTAAATCAAGAATTCCCTCTCCCCTTGTGGGTTCCAGGACTAGCTACTCCAATAAGCAGCTATTCATGGTTTCTAAAAACTTAACCTCTGCATCCATCCTGAGGTGACCCCTACACAGTAAATATGTTGAAAACCCCGATTATTATTATTGAGTTTTCTATTTTAACAGCCTCTCTAATCTCCCTGAGCATTTCATAGTCACCACCACCATTCTGGACAGGTGGTCAACAGCATATTCCTACCGCTATACTCTCATTATTCAAGCATGGAATTTCTATCAGTGGAGATTCTATGGCATAATTTGATTCACTTAAAAGGTTTTCGATATTTGACTCTGTTTCTTTCACAGAGTTACTCCTGGGGGAATTTTATGTCATTGTGCGTATCCAGAATTCACGTCCCCTGCAGATTTCTTTGCTTCCCAGCAGAAAAACGACTTCTGTCGGGGAAGCAAAGGGAAGCCGCAAGAGTGGTCACACACCCCTCACAGCAATGCAGGCAGGTTGGTTCAGGCGCCCGGAGCAGCCCGTAGAGACATAAATCACCACCAGGGGCAGGGAGGAGCTGAGCAGTCACGCATGTGAGAGAGACACTCTGTCCCTCTTGCTCGCTCTTGTGGCGTGCTCGGCGTGGAGGGGCAGGGCTTTGGGGTATTTCTGAGGAGTTAAGTATGGGGCAGGCTCTGTCCCGTCAGGCAGAGCAGAATGTAGCAGCCTGCCTGCTTTGTGAATTGTTCCTATTGTCTTTGTGACTTCCCCTAGGAGTATAAAATAGGTGTAAGTTTTAAGGTACATTTACAGTGCCAGAGTGCTGTAAAGGACAGTATGGCCTTATAAATCCTTATGGTGCTTTAGTGATTAAACGGGGCTACATTTTTGGACTGAAAAAATGTGCTGTATGAACTGTTTACCAGATGTTTCTGGAGATGGTCAGTAGCCAATATAAATTGTGAATCTGATTCCCCAGCCCTCACTCGCTCTTCAGTTGCCTATGATGTAACACTGAGCATATTAGCCAACAAATATATGCAGCCATAACTAGAAAGAGAGTCAAATCTAGCTACGTTACTATTAGGCAAGGAAGCTTGGGGATTTCCTCCAATGCTCCACACTCCCACTCTCAATCCATTTTATTGTAGTTTAAATTACCTAAATAACTGAAACCAGTGTGATTATATTGCGTTATTTTGACAAATAAAATATGCAGAATTTTGCAATGTGCACAGAATTTTAATTTTTTTGGCATAGAATTCCCCCCGGAATAATATAGTGCCTCTCTGCACCAGCACAACCTACTCTGTCATTCCTATATAGTTTGTTTCTTGGTGTTACCATGTCCCATTTATTATAATCATTTCACCAAGTTTCTGTGATGCCTATCATATCAATATCCTCATTTAGGATTAATCTGAAGAGCAACTAGCAAAAGTCACAAACTAACACCAATTTTTTTTTTTTAAGTACATCAAAAGCAGGAACCCTGACAATCAGCGGGGCCACTGGATGATAGACGTGCTAAACAAGCACTCAAGTTCACCCATTTTAGGGAATAGTTGGAGCATCTTGGCAGAGCTGTGATTCTGATATGAAGAGAGGTGCATGTGAAACTTGAAGAAACAAGTATTCCTCAATTCAGTGGGGAGTGTTGTTGGCAGGTCAATAAAGGTGTTCTTGTCACGCCAATTGTCAGCAGTCTGGTGGCATACATGCAAGTGGTCTCCATGAGGGGTAAGTGACTCAGAAGGAATCCTCAGTGCAACGACAAAGGGGTGTACAGTAGGCTCAGTGTTGGAGTGCAGGCCAGGGGTATGTAGCTTTTGTTTTCTACACTGGACCAAACTACAAGTTTTGCCTTAGCAAAGAGAAAGTATTAGACTTTATGCTATACTGTTCCTATGTGCTCTGTAGGGGGGAGGATAAAGTGCTAGTATGTGTCATTGGTCTGTCGAGATGTTGCTGAAACAGGGCACAGTTGAGGTTGCATTGTGGGGTGCTGTGAACCTTAATTCCTCATTTTCCCCTTCTAATAACCAAGGGGATGGGAATCCTTACCCAGCGAGGTCACATTCTCATAGTTCTCCTGCATAACATCTCTGTAGAGGGCTCTCTGAGCGGGGTCCAGTAGAGCCCACTCTTCCTTGGTGAAATACACAGCCACCTCCTCGAAGGTCACCGGCCCCTAAAAGAGCAAGAACCTGCTACTCAGTACCTGCTGCCTAGTGACATCACTATTAACAGGCGAGGACGGCCAATCACATGAAAGCTCTGGGAGGCAGGAAGTGAGCATAGTCCCACCCCATCAGAGCAGCCAGGAAGCATCAGGGTGATGGGAGAAAGAGAGAGCCCTTCTAGCAGAGAGAAGAGGCAGTGGTCTTCCCATTCTCATCGCTCACCTAACTAGCCAGAAGCTGATACAGGAGATGGAGCCCCCAGCAGGGCCTAGGGACAATTTCCTGGTGGGAATCCCAACACCCTCCCCATTACCAGCAGCTGGAGGGGAGGAGTTGAGGTGTCTTCACTGGGGGGGTGCCCCTTCATATCTAACAACAGTGTCTGGCTCGTAGGTTCAGGCTACAGCATGTGGAGGCTGGTACGTTTTCCCAGCCCAGTTCACAGGGGTTGTTTCCTGTTTGACAAATTAGGGAATTTCCACCCACAAACCCCAGGGCTCTGCTGCTCATATCTAGGCCTCACAGTAAACAAATTGCAGCTAGTTTGTCACACCCTGTCCCCACCCCTCCCTTTCTCCACCCTGTGTATTTCCCTGACCCCTCCCACCACCAAATCAACCCCCCAGAAGTGCCCACTTCCTATGTATTTATTGCCCTTCTCCCTCCAACAGGAACCCAGGAACCCACCAGCCTCTGATAATCCATACCTCAACCGGCTCCACTGCATCCATTTCCCTTCCCTGGTCGCTGGAAGGACGGAATGATCTGGAGCAAAACATGAATGTTACGCTGCAGCCTGTTACGGCAAAAAAGGCGACAGGAGACATGTCAGAACAGGAAATAATTTCACCTCACAATTCCCCCCAGGCTCTTTCCCTGCACCCTGATGTCCTAGACCAGGGAAATAACAGAAAAATTCAAAAGACAGTTAGTAATGGGGGGGGGGGGCATGTGTTAGAAAAAGAATTCAACCATACACAAAGTGTCCAATAAGTTCTTGGAATGTACTGGGGATACCTGTTTCTTTCAGAAGAGGGAAGTAGTAACCGGAGGATGGCCATTTTACACCCGATTCTGACTAACAAGAAGGAATTAGGGCTGGTCTACAGTGGGCGGGGGGGAATCGATCCAAGATACGCAACTTCAGCTATGCGAATAGCGTAGCTGAAGTCGAAGTATCTTGGATCGAATTACGTGGGGTCCAGACGGCGCGGGATCGAGGGCCGCGGCTCCCCTGTCGACTGCGCTACCGCCGCTTGCTCTGGTGGAGTTCCGGAGTCGAAGGTGAGCGCGTTCAGGGATCGATATATCGCGTCTTAACGAGACGCGATATATCGATTCTGGATAAATCGATTGCTACCCGCCGATACGGGTAGCAATCGATACGGCGGGTAGTGAAGACGTACCCTTAGTTACAAAACAGAAGGTGGAAAGCATTATGGGCAAAAGTGATCATGACATGATAGATTTCATGATTCTACGAGTAGCAAAAATTCTAGGAGTAGCAAAATAAGGACAGACTTCAACACACTTGGAAAATGGTGACATAAGACAATAAGATAATGGTTCTATAAATATTAGGGCTGTCAAGAGATTAAAAAAATTAATTGCAATAAAAAAATTCCGCTCAATGCATAGCTGCTGCCAAAAAAAGGTAACCGCACGTTAGAATTCATAAGGAACGGGATGGAGAATAACACCAAACATTTGTATATAAATCAAGGGGACAACCGCCCATACACTGGGACCACCATGGCTACTACAGCAAGGCACAAAGGAGATTTTATATTAATCTCTGAGAATTGTGAAGGAAATGGGCAAAAAAGAAATATTTGATAATATGCTAGAAAACAATGAAGATCTACAGGGATTTTATATCGATATTAAATCTGTGAGAACATTGGGACAATTTAACAGAACTGTATACAGAATTTCAATAAACCAGGGGTTCTCAAACGGGGGGTCGGGACCCCTCAGGGGGTTGCGAGGTTATTACATGGAGGGGGTCGCAAGCTGCCAGCCTCCCCCCCAAACCCTGCTTCGCCTCCAGCATTTATAATGGTGTTAAATATACAAAAAGGTGTTTTTAATTTATAAGGGGGGGGTCAAACTCAGAGGCTTGCTATGTGAAAGGGGTCACCAGTACAAAAGTTGGAGAACCACGGCAATAAACACACAGTAATAGTTCTCCATCACCAGGCCCATGGGCAGCAGGGAGCCCTTTGGGGAGCTGCTTTAAGGGGGTACATGAGGGTGGTATGGAGCAGGAAGGCTCCCTGGCAATGGAGGGGAAGGGCACAGCAAGGGTGTGCAGGTGACTGGCACCTTGGAGGAGTGGGCACTATCTGGGGCTGCGTGACCTGGAGCTTCCACTTCTTCTAAGCTTCTTCTTTTGTGTTTAAGATCAGCAAGGATTTCACTGTTAAACTAGCCCACACCGGAGGAGATTTTAAATGGACATTGGAACAGGAAAGAGAAAATGGGGGTAAAATCTGGAGACAGGGTCAGTAACTGGAGAGATGGGCAGACACCTGCCTGGATTTTACACCCGCCAGTGACAAGCCGGGAGAATTGTATCCCTGGTGGGGAGACACGTGGCCAAATCAAAGGGGGGTTCATTAGCCCCGCTCCCCTATCACCAGCCCGGCCGCCCAGGGAGGGAGGAGGGGGGGTCCCGGCTGCAGAGATGGTCCAACCCCCCCATCTGCAGCATGTCCCTGCCTGACCCCCCCCCGACACACACACAAAGGGGAACCCCCGGGCCCCGCCCCCTCTGTCCCCACCCGCGCCCCCAGAGCCGGACCGGCTCCAGCCCCGGCGCGTTCCCGGGGGCTGCGAGACCTGCAGCGCCGCTGCCCGCCCCCAGCTCGCGCCGGACCCTGCTGCCTGCGGCTCCGGGCGGGGGCGGCAGAGAAGGTCCCCCCGGGCGCGCGCCAGGCAGGGAGACGAACGTTCCGCGGCGGCCTTCGGGGCCCTACACCCGCGCGCGCGCAGCGGGCCAGCCCGCCAATCAGGAAGCGGAGAGCGCGGCGCGCTGAACCCCGCCCCCACCCTCCGCCAATAGAAGGCCGGCGTGAGAGAAAGAGAGCGAGAACTACACTTCCCAGCGTGCCCCGGGAGGGCGCTTCCGCCTCATGTCCGCTCCCAGAACAGTCAGGAACTACAGTTCCCAGCGTACCCCGGGGTCAGCTTGACCCCTCCCCCCCACTTCTCATCCCCTCCGCCCAGTCCCCTCCTGGAGACCCCCCCCCCGTGCTCTGGCAGGCGCCTCTCACAGCCGCTCCCCGCGCCCTGAGCGCCCCCCCCCCATTTCTACAGCAAACTCTGGTGTTCAGGGGGGCGGAGCCTGGTGCCTGGCGGCCCCGCCCCTCGGCCAGGGAGACTGAGCGCGGGCAGGGGCTGGGAGGGGGAGCCTCAGCCTGGGGTCTCTGGGCCTGCTGCTTACAGGGGTCTGTCTGTGCAGCGCCCCTAGGAGCCCTTGGACCGACCAGCCTAGCGCCCCCGGGACCAGTGTAGGGCGACCAGACAGCAAGTGTGAAAAGTCGGGGGGGGGGTAATAGAAGCCTATATTAAAAAAAAGACCCCCAAATTGGGACTGTCCCTATAAAATCGGGACATCTGGTCACCCTAGCGCCAGGGGCTTCACAGGGAGTGACCAGACCAGGCAGCCAGGGAGGGATCTGCCCCCTCAGCCCAGTCCCACTCAGGTAGGGTGACCAGATCGCAAGAGTGAAATATCAGGACACATTGGGCGAGCGGGACGGGGGGAGGGGACAGGACGACAATGACAGACACAGGTGCACAGAGCCATGAGAGGGGGCCCTAGGAAGCTGCGAGCGGGGTTGTACGGCCCCCTGCTGCAGCCCGCACCACAAGCCACAGGGTAAGGACACCTGTTGAATTCAATGAGAATTTTGCATGTGAATTGATGTACCTAGTTCTGAGATTATAAAGCCAGAAGGGATCCGGTGATCACGTGGTCTCACCGCCTGTATAGCACAGACATAGAACTTTCCCAAATTAATTCCTAGAGGATAGCTTTTAGAAAAAGCTTTTAGAAAAACACCATGACCCTTAGTATATTGTTAATCGTTAATTACTCTCACCATTGAAAAGGTATGCCTTGTATCCAGTCTGAATTTGTCTAGCTGCAACTTCCAACCCTTGGCTCATGCTCTACCTTTCTCTGCTAGACTGAAGTGCCCATTATTAACTATTTGTTCCCCATGTAGATACTTACAGTCTATAACCACGTCACTTCTTAACCTTCTTTTTGTTAAGCTAAATAGATTGAGGTCCTTGAGTCGATCACTATAAGGCATGTTTTATAATCCTTTAAGCAGTCTTGTGACTCTTCTCTGAACACTCTCCAATTTATCAATATCCTTCTTAAATTGTGCATCCCAGAACTGGACACAGGATTCCAGCAGTGGTTGCACCAGTGCCAAATACAGAGATAAAATAACCTCTCTACTCCTGCTTGAGATTCCCCTATTTAGGCATCTGGTCACCCCATTTCTGTATGCATTTCCCCAGGTTTTTTTGTAAAAATCAAAACTGAACTGCCCCAGAAATTCTGGCATGTGGAATCATCGTGAAACTTGCATGGCTCCAACCCTGCTGATGAACCTTTAGATCCACTGCACAGACTTCTGCCACTTGAGCTAATGGAGTAAGTGATGGCAGAGGCAGTAGGTTGTCATCCTATATGTGACAGATCAGCTCTATAGGGGGATGAGACACTTTTTTTGCCACTGGGTTTCACAGATATCTGCTGACAGAAGAGGAACTATGAAACTCAGGAATCCTGGGTCTATTCCAGGCTCCTGAATGGAGTGGTCTCTAGTAGTCAAAGACCCTTCTTCCCCATCCCCTCCAGTCTATGTCTATCCTATTGCTGTCTAACCCACCCCAGCTCCTCATCTGATTTCAACTGCCCCCTACTACCGCTCTGGATTCCTTGTCCCAGTTTCCTGGTCCTGTCTCACTCTCCTCTCTCCCCGCCCCCATCCCTCAGATGGGATGTTCGTTCCAGACTGGCAAAATTATAAGGCTTCCCAACATTTCAACACTTCCCATTCCAAATTTTCAATTGCTT